AGGTGATGGAGATTTACCGCTGATTACAGAACCGGCTTTCTGACAAGATGCGCATTAAATATCGCATGCGATTTATCGTGCAGCCCTAATTCCAATTAGTGCATGTAAACACCTAGTGTGTAGTGTAGGCTAAATAGTAAAATTAAAAAGCTTTCGTTCATCTGAACTCTAGCCTTTTGGATAGTGCATGTGCTCTGACACATAGTGTGATGTCGCTCATTTGGAGCAATACAAATTCATGTCATCTCATCTGTCATTTCTACTAACATTCCTGTGTCTTCTAACTCTCAATAAAATGAGAGAGTAAATCCTTTGGATTCCTGATGATGCTTTCAAAGGCCAAAAGAACATATAGGGCTGCCAAAATGAGTAGTCTCTCCAGATCACCAGAAACATCATTACCTATAATGGGCTCTTTACACAACCCAGCCTGAGCGTTCTGTTTGTTTCCTTAACACCCTCGCTTTAAAAAACACGGTCAGCCTGCCCATGTGCATTATTCAGAGCGCTGTTCATTCACCTCCCATTCATTCCGCCTCACAATGGCTCCTATCACTACCCTAGACATTGCTAATTCATGGTGGTGACATTCATGTCTCCCAGAGTCATTCGGGGATCACCATGTCTTTCTTGGCCATTAAAACAGTGTGTCAATAAAGAGTGGGCTCTGTGGCGGAGCGAGAGGAAGCCCCGTCATCTGCCTGCAGAGCTCTCTTTTGTCTTGGAAAGTCAGGTGTTCACTGGCCCATGTGTAAGTAGGTTAATCCCTTCTCTCTATCTCACTCTTTCGGCTCCTGGAAAAACTACTCGGGAGAATAACCTCTCCTTGTTACATGAACTATTCTTAGAACATCACAACTCTCAGATCCACAGAGGATGAGAGATGCTGGCATGACTTATGGGATTTCTGCTCTTTGGGAAGCACATCTGGCTGTTCCCGAGTCTTTCGTTTACGTCTCCAAAACATCAAAGTGTGCAAATAATCTAAGCGAATGCATTTTCACATCTGTGGATGGAACTCAAAGAAGGAGCTTGATGCATAAATTATTTAATAGCTCACATGATGAAATAAACAAGCTGATGCTTTGGTGTATTATCCCAAATGACACCATTATAGGCTGCTGTAGGTCATGTGATTTAAAGGCATTAATTAAACACAAAAACATACATAATACACATATTAAAACTATTTTCAAGTAAAGGTTACGCAGATTCCTAAATCCCATTCAACTCTATTTTACCACTCTGCTAGTCCATGCTCATCTATGAACATAATAACATACAGACATCTAGGTCATGGGGACCATTAGCCCACCTGTCGTCACTTACATTCCGTGATTTGTTGCTTTTTACTAATTAACTGAGGTTGATCTAATCACAGTTGCACTTGTATGAGGTGGTTTACAATCTCTGGATATGCCCCATATATTTGTCAGATATATAAAGGAATTTATTGTTGATGTAAAAAAAACACACACATAATTAATGCATATTTGTCCAGTAATTATGCCTAATCATGCTCACTCCAAACCTGTAATGAAGACTTGTACAAAACATTATTTTATTTCTTGTTTTGTTTAAATTAATTTGTGTGCTTGGTAAAGCACTATATTATAAACATTCTTATTTTAATAATTAATATTATTAATAATAACTGTCAACTGCATGATACAGCTGGTCATGTGATGTCAACATGGCAGCGACCATTAAGGAGCAACCCGCTCCATGTACGATACAACAGCTTTATTATATTTCTGATCTCATATTTCTCAAAGGTGCTGATTTTAATAGCGGGAATAAAATACGAAATGCACCTTTAAAACTGAAGGCTAAATTCCCATGAAGTTATATTAGTCATAAAAAGTCATAACATGCACTGCACATCCACGACCTCGATGACATCACCGAGTTCTTCAAGAGAATCGCGCCAACACTCCAAGTTATGACGTTTTCTCTTGGGACGAAACAGTCAGTTGGCGGACCTCATAATCAATAAAACAATAGAAGTCCAACTGACCTTCTCGAGGGAATGTAATTCTAGATAAACATAATACATTTTAGAAGCGCATAACAATAGAGCTCGTTATTAAAATAAACCAGCATTCGTTATTTAAATTAAATGCGCATAAAAAAAACATCAAAATAAAATAGCCTTAAAACAGTTCAGCGCGAGAGAAAAAACAAAAACAGAAACGGTCAGATCATAATATTCCTGAATAATGCAAACTATGTTAAAGGTATAACTGCAAACAATGGATAATTTCATACACTGTTCATTAGTGTTCTGTGAACTGTAAATCCGTATCTACCGAGCTACAAGCAACCCAACCGGAGCTTCAAAAGACAGAGAGAGAGTCAGTGAGAATTTAGAGGTTGTAGGACAGAAATGAACGTTCAGTATGTTCAAAGTGGATCCTCCATTGGACTGGGACCGTTATTGGTGTCTTGCACAATAGTGCGAGTTGAGCCTCCCTCATATAACAGTGACAGAGCGGCCTTACCTCTTCCAGAACATTGACCGTGTTCCGACAGCTCTGCAAGCGGGTGGTGAAGCTTGATGTCGTGGGGGAATTGTAATCCTCCGTCGTCTCCGAGAGAAACTCGGACACGGAGATCTGATCCGGCATCCTTGCAAACACAGTCGCCCAATAAAAATGGAGGGGAGAAAAATCACAATAGCACCATGAATTAGACAGGGGTGGTCAAGAACGGAGCGGTGTCTCTGTTTGGGTCAGGTTGAACGGTAAGGCAATGCGTAAAATGATAAGAGACGTAGCCAAATGTGTGGCAGTGCTATGCAGTTCCCGTTCCTAGAGAGGGTCGTTGTGTGTACTTTCCACGTCTTTCCTCTTCCCTTGTCTTAATTGTACACTTGCATCTACATAAAACGGTTCAGACTCATCTCCTTGTTCTCCCAATGTAAGATGTGAGATGCTGGTTTAGAATGCGCTCATTCCACAATCTAGCTTTAAAATAGTCTGATATTTTGAGTATTTCCTTCAATTATTGTTGTTCCGCTTTCGGAAGCGGTTTCATTCTGTTTTCCCTTTCTCTTTCCTCCGTTTTCGCCCCGTCCTGACAGTCTGAGCTCCCTGACACCAGCGCGTGCACGCACGCTCATGTCCTCCCACCGTTGATGACGGGATAAACAAGAGGAGAAACTGCGCATGCGTCAGAACGCAATGGATAGGGGGAAAAAAAACAATAAATAAATCAAATTAATAACTAAATCTGTATAGGGCAAATAATAATAATTACATAATTAAATAAAAGCAAGAACAATTAAATATAATAAATTATTGGTAAAATGCATGCATTAGTAAAATAATAAAATAAATAAAATAAAATAAAAAATTCAGGACTAGCAAAAATTTTAACAATGTGTCATGTATTTATGCATTTATTTAAATGTATATTTATTCATCCATACTTTATAAATGTAATGCAGTCTATAAAGCATACTGTTTGCCCTGAACAGAGCCAGAATTTATGGTTTCATGCACTGAAGCAAGAAATGTTTAAGTAGCAATAATATAAGGGCAGGCATACTGTATGTGTATTATGCTGCTATAACACAGCATAAGCACGTAACTAATGCCATACAGAATGGTTAAATTATTGTCTCAAATTCACCAATTTTACTTTGTGGGAACTTCAGTTTCTTAATGTAGTATTATTTCACATTACTTGGACATCTCACAACTGCAACAAGAGGGGGCATCCATAAAGGCCATTGCCTGAGGCCTCACAGGACCACAGTCTGTCTATGGGGGCATGAAACTATTTAAGAGGTCAGGCAGTTCTTTGATTAAACTTAAACATAGATTGTAAATTGAGGAGTGTTAGCATAGACTGATGTGCAAATCTGGAGGCAGAAAAAACTCACTGTAAGCACATATGATGTGCAGATGGAATAGTTAGTAGTATAACGCATAAAAAAGCAGTGCATTTTTCAACTCACCGACTCCATAAAGAATCCCTGGAGGAAAAACTTGATAAACGCGAGGATGAGGACCTCATGGCTCTGTAGTCACCTCAATAAAACAACCTTGAGCTAAGACAATGAAAAAATGCTATTATCAAAGAATGGAGCTAGATAATCAAGTCAATATATTGGATCCCTATTGGAAAATACAGCTTAAACTAGTAGCTAGTTTCTAGCTTTTCCAAGCTGGTAGACCAGTTTAGGACCACGAACAAAAAAACAGCATCTTAAACTGGTTAATCTGTTTTTGAAGCATGTTAGTTGGTCAGTCAGCTAATGGTAATCTTAAACCAGCAAGGCTACCATGTTCCAAAACACATCTTCCAGATTAAGTAGGATTTTCCAGAGAAATAAACATGTCAATGATTAAGTGTGATTCTCATCTTTCCAAGGAAAAATAATCCATAGAAAAAGTGCGCCTTTTCCTAAAGTTTCTATTTGCTGCTGACATCACATTTTCTAAAGCAAATTTTGCCACTCAGGGAAAATAACCACGCCTTATAATTTACCGAGACAGCTGCGGTTTCACTCCGTATTAATGGCTTCAAAAGTAATTGCAAAGTAAATTGTGCGCAGAGCTCCGTGTTTCCAAGTGGCACCATAATCACTGCATTGTGCTCAATCCAGCGCGCGGACATTACGGGCTGAAATCACATGCCGCTACAGTTACAATGAGCTGGAATGCGCGCATTGTTCTGCCCCATCTGGAGCTGCTGGACAGGAAGCTAAAATCAAGCATGGGGGCCGGAGGGGGGAATCCTGCACAGGACCACAACTAATGGCAGGAACTGGGAACGCTTAACTTTTAAAGGGAAATCTGATACCGCTGGCGAAATGAACGCGTTATACAGTATTAAATTCAGCCTCACTGACAGAAATGACAGTCTCGTTCTTTAAGAAAACATCATGCTGATCAACATTGTCACTCCAATTCAAATACTAAAAGCCCCTTTGGAAAACAATATATGAATATCACCTTTCTCATTGATTAGAAAATACACAGTTGAGTACAAGAGGGGGAAAAGTGCATTTATTATTGAGGATCTGCAACAGAATGATCCAAACAAGACTTGAGCAGCTCGTATAGCCCTCAGAGCCCATTTGGTGAGGCAAACAAATATAAACAGGAGAACAGGAGAATTCATGTCCTCCATTTCAAAGTTTTTATCCCTAACATCCACCTCTGAGCAACCCTGATACTTTCGAAACTTATAAAAGCTCAACCGGCTTAAATTAGCAAATTATTTTGAAGTTAAAATAAAAGGAACAAAACAAAGCAACACAGAATTTAATAACACACCTATATAAAGGCAATAAAAAATTAATACAAAAAAAAAAAAAACACACATGTAACACAGCTCCTTTAAAAGAGGAAAAAAAGAAAAAAAAACCTTGTCCGATTGACTTCAAGTCGCATAGCACATGGACACAATGATGGGGAGAGCTGTTGGCCACCATCATGTTTTTTTGCCCTGTAAAGATAGGGAGCCAGATTACTGCATGCAGTGAGCTCACAGCTACTGGACCACCTCCCCATTTTCCGGCAGGGGTGTTGCTAGGGGGTGTGTCCGGCACAGCCCCCTCTAAGAGGGGGTAGGACAGGTTAGTCTGAATCAGAGTCAATACTATCTTCTGATGATGAGCTGCTGGAACCGTCTGATTGGTCATCATCGTCGTCGTCATCATTGTCATCTTCATTCTAAGTCAATATTAGAAAAGAATGAATACCTGCACTAATAACAACGATTATTTTTGAATTTAACCAAAGCAAAATTAACCTCATCATCTTCATCATCATCCTCACTATCAGTGCTGCCAGATGACTCATCATCTTCATCATCCGAGTCTGAAGTGCCTGTTTTTTCATCATCCGAGTCCGAGTCCGATGTGTCCTGCTGGAAACCAAGAGTCACACATCTCTCAAACTCTCTTAATACGCGCGAATCACTGTATTTGCATGTGTACACACACACAAACCATCAGCACAAATCAATTAGTGAAATTCAAAATGATGTAACACCCTAAGCCACTTCATATACTGTAGAGTCCACAGCCTGTGTGGGTGAGTTGCCCAGAGAGAGCAGGGCGTTACCTTGGCCCGGTACGCCATGGAACGCTTGCCCCCCCCGGGACCCACTGTCACGGCTCTGGCACCTACCACCTTCTCCTTGGTGACTTGGATTTTCGCCCCAGGACCTCGTGCTTTTGTAGTGCTTCGCCGTTTCTGTGAGGGCAGAGACAGGGCGGGGTGGGGGTGCAAGGACAGAGCAGCACAGGGAAAAAAACAAAAACGTTCAAGCTTAAGCAATGATTAGTAGCCCCACAGTACAGCCCTAAGAACATTATCCATTCAAGTCAAGTTAGTTTGAGCCAAGAGATGTGATTCTAAATGGGGAGAAAGGAAATAATAAAACCATATGTGATGGCATGGATAGAAACAGCCTTTACAAGCAAAGTCAATCAACTAAATAAACCAGGGTGCCTCATCTTGCCATGCAGTGCGGGGGGTATTGATATAGAGAAGAATAAATCACAATCTCAGCTATATGAATGACTGTGTGAGAAGTAACGCTAATATACAGAGCTTTGCTGATGACAAAGTTTGTCCTTGACTTGACTTTAGGCGCAAGTTACAGCCTCAAAAATGAGCAATTACTTACCGTAGTTGAGAACTCTTTATATACCGCACGCTCCTGAGGGGATAGTGACTAGGGAAACAAGAAAAAAGAGAGGGAAATAAATTACTACAAATCTCCAAACTCATATTTCTCACACAAATATTTTTTAATAAGGTCATTGTGACACAAAAGTGTCCATGATAGAGAAAAAGGAAAATCTTTTTAAAACATGCCAATTTCATAAAAGTGGACTCTCTGTATTCATGTTGGTTGCATATGGTATTGCAAAACTATTTTTTTTTTTTTTAAGTTTTAATTTATTCTAAAAATGTAATGTGATGTACCTTGAATACATCTTAATCATTATGGGGAAAAAAATATATATATATAGTTTAAGGTAAAAAGAAGTAATAAAAAGTATTAAAATGTACTACATGACATTTTATATAACCTGAGCAACTTGTTTTTTTCCCCAAAAATTTAGTGAAGTTTTGTTAAAAAAAAATTACAAAATAATGAACGATTAATAAAAATAATATATAAAAAAATGCCAAAATTATTGAGGTTTTCTTTTGAATAATTTCATTTTCATTGTTTAATGAGGCATTTTTTCTTCATTACGATATCAGGGCAGTTTCATTATGACATTTTCTATTTAGAATATACTTCTATTTAGAAACGAAAAACATGCTCATGATAGAAGAGTTGTATTTAAGTGATTGTATATATAAATTGTATTTTTTATGTATTTTTGAATAACTTAATAAACAGGACAATAAAAAAAGAACCATCAATTCTGGAACTGGAAGATTCAACAAACTTCCTACCTTTACCCAAGCGTCAAGCTCAGCTTTGTACTCTAGTTGTTGCTCCTCAACCTGTTTTTTATATTTGTCCTTCTGGCTCTGACTAAGCTTGTGCCATCGCTTGCCGATCTCCACCATGCGCTCCTTCAGGCTGAAGTGATTCAGCTCACCGTTAGTTAGCAGTTCCTGAGAGAACATTTGATACCCGCTCCTGAGGTTGGACAGAAGACGACAAAGTAGTACTGAAACAGTGAAATAGATAAAATAGCCTAGTATTTTTTTAACACGGAAGGCATGTCTCTCAGAAAGCGACAAGCTAAAATGTTACACTCACACTGGGGGCTTCTTGGGCTCGCCATCAAATTTTGGTTTTCTTTGTCCCTGTCCTGACAGAACTGTCCTCATCTCTAACAGCTCTCTCTACAGGATGAAAAACAAGAAACATGAGCAAAGAGACTTTTTCTATTCACTCTGAATGCAAAGACAAGACACAAGGCAAGCTGAAAAACCCATGAAAACAGATGAGCAGGCTGATAAACCAAAAATGACATATGCTTATAATGCAAACACATATATAAACAAGAGTTAAAGCACATCAAGATGTCAGATTCATGAGAATATGCAAGAATAAGTGACAGAAGACATTTAAACATCACCACAAACATCAAACGTAAGTACAAGTTCCACCAAATTCCGCTAGAAACAGCACAATCTTAGCATATACACATTGAGACACAACTCCATGCAATGCAGACTCCTCCGCCTCTACTCTGGGGAGGAGGAAAGTTAGGGGTGACCAACATTTTGACATTTCTTCAGCACAGGTGAGAAGACAGTGGTCAAAATGTCTGGTCACTGACCACAGTCCGGTACTGAACCTCGTATCGCTTCTGGTCCTCTGCAGCCTTCTTGATCCAAGGAATCTTCTCCTTTTTTTCCATGGCCTTCCAAGCAGCATCCATTGCATTCTGCGCTTTCTTCCGGTCATTCTATGAAGAGCAACAGTTTAAGGTTATTGTTTCTAGATAATGTTGTTGTTCTGCATGATGTTAAAAACAAATCTTTCTTTAGCGTTGTGTGATTCTGCAGGGGTCTCTTTGTATTTTATGAAAAATCATTAATGTTGCTCTTACTCTGTATTTAGCCAGATAGTCTCCTATCACACTCTGCTGCCACATCTCCTCTGGAGTCTTCGGCGTTTCAGGAAGCCGTGTTTTCTTCTTAGCGTCTCGCTTCTCTTTTGAAAGTCCATGTACCCACTGATCCAGCTCAGGGTCACGACACAGTTCCTACGGCACAACAAGAAGAAACTACTTCTCATTCTGATTCAGACAACATACCACCAGAGCATAACGGCATGCAAGTACATAAACAAGGACATCTCGCACATGCCCACCTTCACAGATTTAGCCCTTAGGGGGCTGCCTGCGCCCGCTATGTTCAGCCTGGAGCCTCCCAGCTTCTCCTCTGTCAACACACGCTCCCTCTCCTCTTCTGGGAGTCTCTGCAGAGAGACGGAGATTGAGACAAAGTGTCAGCCTCCCTTTAAATGCAGGATCAGGAATTCAACAGTATCTGTTGTAATAGAATGAATTTGTAGTGCTTTGTACTTACCTCAATAAACCTCTGAAGGTCAATCTCATACTGTTTCTTTTTCTGACGAGAGAGATAAACATTGTAATTTTTGTTCTTAATGTAACAACTGTGTTATTGAGACCTGTAATAATAAAAATGTTAATAATAATATTTAGTATTATTTTAATGATTATTATTATTAACCATGCCTGCTTTGCCGATTAACTGAAGTGTTTACCTTCCCTCTTGTCGATTACAAATTCAATTGACATTTTGATTTTTTTTACAATTTCTGAAGGATCACGTGACACTGAAGACAGGAGTAATGACTGCTGAAAATTCAGCTTTGACATCACAGTTATGAATTACATTTGAAAATGTAATTGCATTGCAATATTACACAATATTATGTTTACTTTATTTTTGCCCAAATAAATGCAGCCTTGTAGGGCATAAGAGACTTTCAAGATCTTTTGAACGGTAATGTATATACACACATGTATTACATCAAATAAATCAGGGTCAGCCATTACTGGTCAACCACAGAAACTTTTCCAGATTACATTTTTTTGACATCAGTTTTTAATACTTTCTTTTTTGGTTTAAAACAAATCAAGAGTGGACTGGTCTGTCAGACCTGTTCACATCGTTTTTGGAACATATCCTTCTCTTTCTGGGTCATCATCTTCCACTGCTTACTACACAGCACCATTCGCTCCGTACTTGGCACGTCCTTCATGTTTACCATTAGTTCAGCACAGTACAGAGAATAGCCATTTCTGCAGAACAAAGCAATATACAGATGAAATTAATACATATATATATATATATAATGAATTGAACATATCACACACATTGCATATTTATATATATATATATATATATATATATATATATATATAGTACAAGTTAATATATAGACAAGAACCACTGGTGGATTTCAAAACAGTCACCAACATTCTATTTCAGCAGTATTCTATAACAGCAGCATATCTTGGTATACTGAGCAAAACTTTGGTAAGATAAGACTTCATAAGCCATGCAAAAAAAATAAACTAAATTAAGAGATTTCCTGAGAAAACCAAATGCTTCTCAGTGGTTTGAAACATACGGTGGTGGTTTGGTTGGCCGACCATCAAACTTGTCCTTGAGCTGCCGTTCAGCCTTGGTCAGGACAGATTTGACGTGTTCGTCAGAGTTTGCATCCGGATGAGCTTCAAGATATGCTCTCATGGTCTCCTGTATGAGGAAGCAATATTTCACAAGTTCACAATGTCCTTTATCCCTCTAATTGACAAAGACTTCATCACTTTAGCTTCAGTGAGAACACAAAGCCGTACCTCATAGTGTTTCTGCAGCTCTAGAGCTTTGCTGATCCATTTCAGCCTCTTTTTGTCTAATAATTGGGACCATTGTCTACGTAATGCTTCCTTCACCTCCTTCTGGCTTACCTACAAGCATTGGACATGGAAAAGTGAGAGCAGGTCCGACCATAAACAGTTAAATCCGAAATGCTCTCAAAAAAATTAAAAAATAAATAAATTGAATTTTATGTAAGTAGGTGACAAGCTGGACTTTGTTCCAAAGCTCTAACTCTTTATACTCAAGTTGCTATGACAACACACAGATTCTACTAAGACTATATGACCACTATGTTCTTTCCTTGCCAAACTCTTTTACCTCTGGGTGAATTTTCATGTAGGTCTTCTTCTCATGGTTGTACCATAGCTGTTGAGGGGTCTTGGGCTTCTCTGGGAGGTCTGACTTCTTTCTCTCCTCTATTAAATCTGGGTGGTCCTCCCTAAAAACAATAGAAGCTTCTCACTTAATCACCAATAAAAAAACTGTCATATATGCCTTAGGTATTTTTGTGCAGAGGAACATGGACACTAACTTGAATCGTGCCATGTTCTTCTCAAAAGCCTCTTTCTCTCTCTGGAACTCTTGAATGTACTTGAGCTGACAAAAGTAATAGTGCAAATTTAAAAGCAAAACAGTCAAAAAAAAAAGTAATATTTGCAATGAAATTCTACAAGTACCAGCACTTTACATTTATAAGGACATGTATTTTTTTTTTAATGAACATCAAGAATTTAGGTACAAATGTATGAGAAAGTATATATCTTAGGTTACCATTTCTGTTACAATATTTACCATTGGTAATCATCCTTTTGCCATTTAGTTTGTCCTGTGATGGGACAAATGAATACTGAAGTACAAATATTTTCAATTAATGGGAGATTATAAGTATTATTTATATACTATTACAGTATTTGTTCATATTTTAATTATATTTTATTTTCAAATTTTATATTTTAATTTTAGGTTAGTTTTAATCAATTTGTTATATACTTTTGTCATTTTACTACAATTTTATATTTCTGTAGCTTTGCTTCTTTTTTTCAGTTTCAGTTTTAGTCATTTTAATATTTCAATTTATTTAGTTGTAAATGTACCAGTTCTCATTTAAGTTACCGGTATTTGTCTAAAACGAACCTTTTTCTTTTCAGGAAGCTCTTTGTATTTTTTGGACAGAATCTTGGTGAGATCCAAGTTGCTCATCTCGGGGTGGATTTTTGCATACTTGGCTCGTTTCTCCATAAAGAAGCGAAAGTAGGGAGTGAGGGGTTTCTTCGGGAAGTCTGGATGTGTCTAAAACCGAGGTAAATCATACATAAACAATATGAAAACAGCCTTTTAGTTGACATAACACATCAGGCTAAAACATGACATATTAAGAAAAAAAAGAGAACATTAAATATTGAGACTTCCTTATATCTCACCTTCAATTTTTTCCCCTTGTATGGGTTCTTCACATATTCAATAGCATCAACAATGAGCTCTGTCATCGTTCTGTATTTACGCACCTGGGGTGGGAAAATCATTACACAACTCCAATGAATGAAAGCAAATAATAATTTTAACGTTCTGTTTATTATTAAGCTGGCAAAGCTCACAGTATTACATGGACAATCTAAAGAAAGTGTCTTTAACATAAACACTTATTATTGTTATTTGGAACACAGCCACATTATTGCTTTAGCTCGCTGGAATTTGGCTCACCTCTGTGGAAACTTTCTGCCATTTCTGCTTACACATGTCTCCAGTGAAACCCCCAAACCCCACCTTCTCCCAGTCAAAATGAGACTCTGTGGTTTTATACTTCATTGTGTCTCCATCATGTAGCAGACTGCGTATCCTCTCCAGCAGTGTCAGACAGTCCTCTTTGCTCCATGTATCTGCATCTAACAAAAACAGTGCACACCAACGCATTGAGCATGTTGAACGGCCAGAACCAGAGGGTGTTTTTTTTACATTGAACATAATTGTAGTGTGTCTGTGTGAATATGTCCATCGTGGACAGAATGCGAGCGTACCTGACTCAATTTTGAGTCGTCCTGTCTGGGTGCCAGACACACTGGTGCTGCCATTCATGATGACAGAATTCACCAAGTTCCACCTTGACACTTCACTGGCCAAGTGGCTACATAGAGAAAACAAGACAATTCAAAGTGAGGCTGTAAAATTGGGCTACTGACTGAATATGGCAAAACTTTTCAACATTTATCCATTTAAACTAATATCTATTTTTGTTACTAGCACTTTTTTAATTACTAGTAATTCAACAGTGACATTCATTAGATACTAGTGCTTATTCCTTTGCTAGTAGTCACTATGCCAATATCTAATAAGAGTTATTTATTATATATTAGTACATATTTATGAGATATTAGTACATATTACTTTAACTGTTACTAATAGAATTTTATATCTTGATAGTAACAATTGCTTTTTGACTTGTCGTGTGTAATAAATAGTCAGGAAATAGTTTAATTAAAAATCGTACTCAAGACACTGATAAATATTTGAATTGTTACAAGTAATTAAAGAATAAGCAGCATTGGAACCAAATTAATAGGTACTAGTAAACTGCAATAGGCATTATCAACAATTGAAATATATGCTAGCTGGAAATGAATAGTTGATATCCTGAGAGAATTAAAAATATATATATAATTTGTTACCACTAACAATGGAATAGTTATTTGTCATGAGTGGCTATTAGCAAATGAATAAGTACTTGAACGTAATTAAAAGCACTACTGACTAATTGTACAGATACTAGTATTTATACTAATTGTAACTTCTATCTATCTAGTATCAAATAAACACTAATATACAATATATATATATATATATATATATATATATATATACACTACCGCTCAAAAGTTTGGGATCAGTAAGAGTAAGAAGTCAGTAAGAAGTATCTTATGCTCCTCAAGGCTGTATTTATTTGATCAATTATTACAATATAAAATAATGGTTTCTATTTTAATATCCTTTAAAATATAATTTATTTCTGTGATGCAAAGCTGAATTTCCATCAGCCATTACTCCAGTATAAAGTGTCACATGATCCTTAAGAAATCATTCTAATATGGATATCATATTAGATCTAACATCTAATATCATTCTAATAACTCCACAAAAGCTATGGAGTTTTGTCCTCTGTAGAGGACATTATTTTTTAGCGATTTCTCTGAGACCTTACATGTCACAGTTGTAAATCTAGATGTCCTGTAAAGAGCACATTCAGGTTGTTTCACCATGATCACTCCCTCTGCTTGGTCTTTAAAAATGGCTGACATTAATTTAGTGCTCAAATTCAACACCCTTATGGAAATATGATAATATTTTGTAATGATCATTTCAATCTGACTAATTTTCCAATTGTTTGTCATAAATCAACATCTCAGGAAAGATATACAGTGTATAGATACATTGTACATAATGGGCCAACCTGTTTATGGCCATTTTACGCACATGTTGCATAAAGCAAAATGGTATATCAAATCATTCTGTTATATCTTTCATAACATAGTTGAGGATAATTTTTATACAAAGTTTGGTATAAAAAATAAAAATGGATTGGGGATTTTTTTTTTAAATCTCTGTTTTTGCCTTTTCATGTCTATTCATGTCTTTTTATTGATTTTAAAAACAGGACTTTTTAAAGTCCTAGTATCCTCTACAGAGGACATAGCATATGAATAAAATAAAAATGTTATTTTTCCTTTTTTTTTCTTATGCTCTAAACAATGTAATGACATGAAAAAATATTAAATTCAACTTTTTTTTTTCTTCTGGTAGTCAGGAGGATATAAAAAAGTTCTAGAGAAATTTAAAAATATATTAGTTACCACTATATTGCTTAAAGGTGCCATAGAATGCATTGATACAATATTGGTAATTATACTGTATATAAAATGCGGGAATCAGGGAGCCGCTATTAATATTTTGAATTTTGGGCATTGAAACTGCTTTCGAATGCACTATCGTTTTTTGCTTTCACTTTGGAGATTTGCGATCGCACGTGCTCTGTGTAAACTACAGCGGCAGTACTTACCACACATTTTACAAGATCAGATGCTTGTCAGATCTCAGGATCTGTAAATCATTCGCCATCATCCTCAGCCATCTCTCCTTACTCTGTTTATGTGGTAAGTGAAATCTTATGTACTGTAATGTAACAGGCTACTGCTAGCAATCAGCTAACCCTTTAGTGGCTCGCGTTATTTTATTGGAACGCGCGTTATTTGTTTTCTGTGCCTTTCTGAATACAGACACCAACCCATCCCTGCACAGCCTGGAACATAACATTTATTTCCATGATCTGCTATTTTCGCTGTTGTTGGGGGCGTAACTATTAGTGATCCCGCCTGTAACGTCACAGTCGGTGTTATGTTCTGATTCGCCTATTTTTCAGTGGTCTTTTGTATGCACGAGATTTACATAAGGAGGAGGAAACAATGGTGTTTCCATGTACAGAACTGTTATTATTCAACTATGCCAAGGTAAATACAGTTTTCCATTCTATGGCACCTTTAACGGAAATTTTAAAAAGTACAGAAAACATAAAAAGTAACACAACATAAAATGAGATGCTAGTTTTAAGGAATAAATAAATAAATATTGCCATAATTATGTCAATAAGCAGAATTTGTTCATCTCTTTTAAACCTGTAAAGTCAGTAAAAAGGTAAACAGCCTCTTTATCCTCCTGACTACCAGGAAAAAACAGTTTTGTGAATTTAGTATTTTGTCATGTCATTACATTGTTTAGAGCATAAGAAAAAATTTGAAAAATACAATTTTTGAAAAATGATATTTTATTCATGTTATGCCATGTCCTCTGTAGAGTCCTGTTTAGAGTCCTGTAAAAGTCCTGTTTTTTTAAGAAATAAAAAGACATGAATAGACATGAAAAGGCAAAAACAGTGGGACTTTTGTTTTAATCACAAATCAATTTTCATTTTTTATACCAAACTTTACATAAAGACGATTCTCAACTATGTTATGAAAGATATTTTTAAAACCATTTTTCTTTATGCAAAATGTGTGTAAAATGGCCATAAACAAGTTTTTCCATTTTATACAATGTATCTATAAACTGTATCTGATTTGCATATTAATGTGTTTTTGGGGCAACATAGAATGAACAAATAAGTGCAGTAATGGGAGTAATAATTAGCAAGATTTTCATAATAATATCTAATATTTAATAGGAATATTGATACATAATTTTTTCTCTATTCATTTGTTGTGTCTCCCAAAATGTGTAATAAACATGCTTTAAGTCCTGGTGTCCTCTACAGTGGACATGTATGAAATCAACGTCCTGTTTCGTAACAGAAAGTCATATTTTGATTTGAAACCCCATAACATTTTACTGAGATTTATGACAAACAATTTGAACATTAGTCCGATTTAAATGATAATTACAAAATATTATCATATTTCCATAAGGGTATTACACTTGATCACTAAATGAATGTCAGTCATTTTTAAAGACCAAAGAGAGGGAGTAGTCATGGTGAAACATCCAATCATTTGGTATCTCTG